TGGAAGGTCTCTGTTGTAAGCTGCTAAACCACCCATCCAGTAATTTTGCCCAGAAGTATGTGAAAACACAAAACTACAGCCACAGATGTACGTCTTCAGATGCACGTCTCATATGAATGCTTATCAGAGAACCACAGGCTGGTTGGGGTTGGGAGGGACCTCAAAGCCCCCCCAGTGCCCCTCCCCCCCCGCCCCGGGCAGGGCCCCCTTCCCCCAGCCCAGGGGGCTCCCAGCCCCGTCCAACCTGGCCTTGAACCCTTCCAGGGAGGGGGCAGCCACAGCTGCTCTGGGTACCCTGGGCCAGCGCCTCACCCCCCCCCCCCCAGGGAACAATTTCTGCCTTAAATCTCAGCTAAATCTCCCCTCTGTCAGTTTAAAACCATCACCCCTTGTCCTATCACCCCACCCCCTGACCCAGAGTCCCCCCCCACCTCTCCTGCCCCCCCTTTAAGCCCTGGGAGGCCGCTCGAAGGGCTCCCCGGAGCCTTCTCTTCTCCAGGCTGAACCCCCCCAACTCTCTCAGCCCGGCCCCCCAGGGGAGCTGCTCCAGCCCCCCCAGCATCTCCGTGGCCTCCTCTGGACCCACTGAAGACATTAATATGTTTTTATATTAATTCTGTATTAATTACCAACTCCAGTAGATGAATATTCCTTGTTCTCACTAGCTATGAATGGCCTAAGAGCACTTTACTAACAATTAAGCCAATTCTCTCACAAAATATTGCATCTCTGGGGCGAACAGAGCAAAAGTTGGTCAAAGCATCAATGTGATCTTACCTAATTTAAAGACAGTCACACTTCCTTTAGCTGTGAAGTGGACACATTTTCCCTTGATCCTTACACTTTTGATTTTTGACCCTCACCTTCCATAGGTTAGGCATCCTCCCGATCCCCTCTTTTCATTACAGTACTACCAGTTAAATACTTTCAGATGCTACAGAAGAGGGAGTATCTGCCAAAGCAGTATAAAACCACAGTGAATGCAAGAAGCTTATACTCAGTTTCTCACGTCTGTCTCATGCAGTAATAAGGTTATAACCATGATGTTCTAACGATGTTAAACGATGCAAAGTTATTGTTTTCCCCAAATGACGTCAACTGGTATAAGAAAAAAGAGACCAGACAAGCTTTTGGGCATACATTCCAGCCTTGAATTATTAAAAAGTCCTTGCTGAATCATAATAAAATACAGTAACTATTCAAAAGAAAACAATTATTATAAGAATGAAAGCACTAACAATATTGAATAAACCATTCTAATAACCCAGCTGACCACTCTCAGAAGTGCAGAGTGGGAGAATTTTAATTCTCAAAGTGGATGCAACAGTTCCCTGCACCCTACCTACTTGTCTTCACATCAAAAGGCGGCCCTGGAGTATTTTGTCTGCATGAGCAGAATACAACATTACCTTAAGTTAAGCTTACTGCCAGCCACAAGTCACAAGGCAACACACGTGCAAACTGGAACTGTGGGTTTAACAAAAATCAGACTTCTCTCAAGACAATCCTAAAGAATCTCTACGACCAGCTCTGGCAACACCTCAACCACAGGAGCCCAGAGCTCAACTCCTCACAGCACTTCCAGTGAAACATGTTCCAATTTAAGAAACAAAATAAAGCACACAACTAAAGCAATATGCGTTTACCTTTAGTTTGAGGGCTATTGGAATCTTCCATAGAAAGTTTCAGTTGCTGTATGAACTCACTGCCATACACACTCCTTTCTTGCCAGATGTTAAGCAATCGTTCCAAGGGCTTTTTGCAGCCCTCATCTGCTTCTCTGTTCAAAAATTAGAAAATGGTTACAGTTCAGCTGAAAAACATTCCTTCTGTTTTAAGAGAGCATCTTCCAAACTAACAGCTGCATCCATTGCACGTTTGGAGAGAACCTCTCTGATATTGTCAGAGACAGAGCATGCAAAACACATTTGCGGCAAATTTTCCCGTTTTACTGGAACTAAAGATTGCCTGAAAGTACCCCTTATCCCCACTCCAAAGTAAGGGCAGCAAAAGTTTTGAAGGAAGAAACTTGCTATCATTCAGAATTTGCAAGGAGAGGTATAAAATACCCCAAAGTTGACAGGTTTACAATTCAGAGTATTAACTTTAAACAGTTGTTTCAGTCAATAACATTCCAATTAAAAAGCAGGTTGTTTGGATCATTAGGCATTTAAATGTACTCATATAGCACACTGAAAGTTAGACAGCCATCCAGAACAGCATACCACTAAACAAACGGAACATTAAAGTTGTTTAGTTGAGATAACAGGAATTATTACGCTATTTAGAGAAAACTTTAACTAAATGATGGTCCATTTTTGATGGGATAGTAGCTACATCACTTCTTCCCTTTTATGTGTAAAATTCTTCCTTCCTCTAGCAAGGAGACTAATGATCAGATAACTGCTAAAACAAAAAGAAACTGCACTCAAGCCAGAAGACTGACTAGAATCCAGTGACCCAACATATTAGCTCATTTACAGTCTTCTGACAATGGGGAAGAGCCATTCATTAAGTGGCATTAATAAATACACGCAACTATTCAGTTTCACTACCCATGAACAGATCTGCAGGATCTTTTGGTAAGCATTAAAATAAAGTGCACAGCAGTTACACACAGAGAACAAACGTGTAAAGCTTCGAGAGGAGTTTCACCAAAGAGAAATATTAACACTAAACAGTCCCTAGCCACAGAGTAGTCAGAATCCAATCTCTACTAGAGAGAGTACAAGCATCCCTGAGACTTAAAAAAAGCAAAACAAACAAAAAAGCAACATACCTGGCAACATGAGAAAAAGCATCCACAAGAACAGATTCAAATTCCCTAGTAAATTCGGGACCTTTCCTCTTACTGTTCTGGATGACATCGTTTGCTAAATATAGGAAAGTAAGTTTCCTACTCGATTTTGCTAGGAAAGGAAAAAAAAAAAAAAGAGAAGAAGAAAAAAAGGAAGGAGAAAAAAAATAAAAAGAGAGAGAGTTTGCACTTATTTCTCATTTCTTTCACCTGGAATCATTAACATGGTTTTCAAAGTTGCTTATTGCTCTTCAGTCTAAAAACAAAGTTCAGAGTATTTCCATGTTACCAAGGCAAATCAGAAGCCTTCAAGTCAACTGGATCTTGATCTCCCTACTACTGTTCATTTTTTTCTAACTAATTTACAAAACAAACATGATCTTAATACTTTTTGCGCACAGTGACTCCTCAACTCTGAAGACAGACGTGCAAGTAATAAATTTTAAACATGTGATTAAAATGAGCTGTTCTAACCTACCAGCAAATGAATATAACAATAGACTTTTTTTTTTTTTCATTAATTAACTTCAGGAAAAAAGCTTGGTATAGAATCACTTAATTCAGAACAGAATGAAATTGTAGGAGAAAGCTATTGTGGAGACTCAAATATTTTCCAAACAATGTTATGCCAAAGCAACATTAAACTCCTTCCATATACCATAACTTTTCCCTTCTTGACACCATCAGTTTCTATTTTACAATGGCCAGAATCAGTGGGAGATGCTGTTCTACAGAGTGCACTGGCCACAAATACACACGAAGCAGAAAACAAAAGCACCAACTTCCACAGCAGGCCAGACTCAGATCTTTCAAAAATTCATACTTAATATACTATAAATGGCAACTCCAGTGATTACATGAAAGATACTCCAGCTAAGGCTTCATCAGCATCATCTGCTCCAAGGGGCTAACGCTGCTGGCAGCCCGGGATGGGAACGGTGACACTGGCTGGTTTCACAGCCGCCCCTGGGGACAGGGCATCAGCACTGACAGTGACAGCCTCCCTGAATTCATTATGAAGCAATTTGAGAAGTTGACTTTAGTTATGTTAATCTGCAAGGAAAAAGGGCAAAAAAATATTTCTGGATGATACTACCAAACAGATTTTATAGATGTCTACAACCGCTTTTACTGTGCTTATCCTGAAGTGCAATTCTATAGTGGATAAGTAGCACAAGTCTGAGCCCAAAATTTAAAATCTAAAAGCTAAACAGCCAACAAAGCACCTCACAGTTAACTTGAGCACACCCAGGGGAAAACGCTAAGAACATCTTTGTTTTACAACCGAGCTGCCTGGCCCAGCAGAGCAGCGGGGCTGAGCACCCCCCTCCTCTCAACACCTCGCTGCTTCAACCACCGCTTCTACTCTCTATCTCCCTCATCGCCACCTCTACCAGCACCCACAGAAACGCTGCCCCCCCCCCCCCCCCCCCCCCCCCCCGCGTCTCGTGCGCGATATTCGTGGCGAAGTTTAATAATTAATCACACCCGCGGGAAAACGCCGTCCCGGCCCCCGTTAAACTCCGACTCCCGCCGCTCACGGGCTCCCAAGTTTTCACCGCGCCCACCCGAGGGGGTCAGGGGCCGCCGTGAGGAAGAACCGGCCGCTCGCTGCGGCCTGGCCCGACCCCCCGGCGGGGCCGGGGCGGGCCCCCCCCGCCGGGGGAGCGGGCAGCGGAGGGGCGGCTGCCGGCAGACGGGACGGCCGGGCCCCGCGTACCTTTGCGGAGCTCCCGGTGCCAGACGGAGACGATGGGCCCTGCGTGCTTGCGGTGGTGGATGAGCCACAGCGAGAGCGTCTGCACGCTCTGCTGCGAGTTGCTCAGCTCCGACAGCTTCTTCTCTAGCGCCGACTCGGAGAAGGAGGACATGGCGGCGGGCGGCCCGCGCCGGGCCTGCTCGGCCCCGCGGGGGAGGGCGCGGCGCTGCCCCACCGACACCGAGCCGCCGCCACAAGATGGCGGCGCGACCCCTCACCCCGCCGCGGCAGGTCGGAGGGCAGCGCCGGACGGGTCGCGGGAGGGAGCGGGGCGGCGCGCGGCGCATGCGCAAACCGGAGAGAGAGGGGCGCGCGGGGAGAGCGGGCCGGGCGCGCGCATGCGCACGGCGGGCCCGCCGGGGACTTTTCTCGCACCCCCCCCCCGCCTTTCAGCGGGCGTTTTGTGGCGCTGCCGGGCCCCGCCGCGGGAGCAGGTAGGCGCGCTGTCCCCGGCCCCCCCCCCCCGCCATGGCCGTCTGCGACACCCCCCAGGCGGCCTTCGGGGCCCTGCGGCCCGCCTGCGTGCGGCTGGCGCGGGCGCGGACCGCGGCCAACGTGGCGCGGCTGCAGGCCCAGCTGGACGCCGTCGGGGCCGCGGCCCTGCAGGAGCTGCAGGAGTACGTCCTGTTCCCTCTGCGCTTCGCCCTGAGGGCGCCGGGGCCCAGGCCGGAGCGGCTGGTGCTGAGCGTGGCGCAGTGCATCTCCTCCGTGCTCGCCGCAACGCGCGTGAAGAAGCGGGAGCTGCTGCAGGAGCTGTTCTCCGAGCTCTGCTCGTGCCTCGCTCCCCCGGGCGGCTCCAGCGAGCCGGCCTGGCTGTCCGAGGAGCTAAAGCTGGCTGTCATCCGGGCGCTGCACACCCTGATGCATTCCGCTTACGGGGACGTTATCTTCTCTCTGTATCAACCTGCCACCCTTCCCCTCTTAGGATTTGCTGTATCTTTGCTTCTGGGCCTAGCAGAGCGAGAGAAAGCAAAGCAAATTAAGATCTCTGCTTTGAAGTGCTTACAGGTCCTGGTCCTGCAGTGTGACTGCCAGGAGCATCGCCACCTCAATGAAGATGAGGCACAGCGATGTGGGGATTTGTTTGCTTCCTTTCTGCCGGGGATTTCCATTACGCTGTCTCGGGTGATTACTGGAGACATCAAACAAGGTCATAAAACCACCGTTTCTGCCATCAGACTCTTTTATCTGATCGTTGGCTTGGTAATGGCTGATGCACAGCTAGCCAGAATCCCAAAGAACAAAGAAAAGCTGCCAGTGGAACAAAGCAGAATATCAGAACTAATGGTCCATAGAGGGCCTGACTGGAGTAAAAGTACTGCTGAAAAACTCTCTCTTCTCCTGCATAAAATGGTTGAAATTTCTTCAGTTCACCCCCACTGGAAAGTGAGACTGGAGCTGGTAGAACTGGTCCACCACTTACTGAGGAACTGCAGCCAGTCGCTGGTGGACTCGTTCGGTCATCTTTTAAAGGCCTTGGTTGGGCTGGTGAACGATGAAAACAGCGAAGTCCAAAGCAGGTGTAACGAGGTTCTGCAGGGCATTGCAGAGCAGAGGATTGTAGCACAGAACAGGGCTCTGGCTGATGTCCTCTCCGAGAGCCTCCACTCCCTCGCCACAGCTCTTCCTCGCCTGATGAACTCTCAGGATGACACGGGCAAGGTTTCCACTTTGAGCTTGTTGCTCGGCTATCTGAAGCTGCTGGGCCCCAAGGTCAACATTGTCCTCAACTCCGTATCCCACCTCCATCGTCTGTCCAAAGCGCTGATGCAGGTTCTGGAGCTGGACGTGACAGACGTGAAGATAGTGGAAGACAGACGCTGGGGCTGCGAGGGTGGACCTGCGGGCTCCTTGCAGCACGGTGTGCAGAAAGGCAGATCTCAGAAGAAATACTTCCGCTTCTTCACGGAGGAGAAAGTTTTCCAGCTCCTTCAGCAAGTTTGTCGTGTTCTCGGCTACTATGGGAACCTCTATTTGCTTGTGGATCATTTCATGGGGCTGTACAGTGAATCCGGCGTCTACCGAAAGCAGGCAGCAATGGTCCTCAATGAGCTGATTGCTGGAGCCGCTGGGGTGGGAGTGGATGTCCTTCAGGAAAGGGAGGTTTCGCTGGACAGGGATGATCTGAAAGGGTCCATAATGTCCATTCTCGATGAGTACACAGACCAGGCAAACTGGTATTTGATCACTAGCATTGATACAGAAGAAACCAGCCACCAGCACTCTGTGCAGCATTCGGGACTTACTGCCCGTCCAGGAGATGCGTGCGGTGGCATTCTCCTTCCGTCCCCAGAGCCGCACGTAACAACCTGCACCATGAACAGCAACATCTGGCAGATCTGCATCCAGCTGGAAGGCGTCGGCTGCTTCGCTGCTGTCCTCGGGAAGGAGTTCCGCTCGCTTCTGCTGTCAGCTCTCTACCCTGTGTTGGAAAAGGCTGGTGACAAGACTCTGCTCATCAGTGAGACGGCACTGGGGACACTGGTAGACATATGTGAGGCCTGCAGTTACGACTCCTTGCAGTGTCTGATTAATGAGAATTCTGACTATCTGGTGAATGGGATTTCCCTGAATTTGCGCCAGCTGGCACATCAGGCACATGCTTCCCAGGTCCTGGACACTATGCTGAAGCACTCAGATGCTAGCTTGCTGCCACTGGTAGAAGACGTTATCCAAGATGTCCTGTCTGCGCTAGATCAGTCTTACAATACCCAGGCTTCCACTTTCCTCAGGGTCCTCCACTCAGTAATGACAGCTTTAGGTATCTAAATCATGCTTACTTTATGTAATTCAGTCTTATTGTAACTAAGGGTACTTGTCTTTGACCTTTCAGCTTACCAGGGGAAATTTCAAGTAGCTGAGGTACTGCAGCATGATGGCAACTTTGCTTTGCTTGGTGGGCCAGCTCTCAAGCAAAGGTGACCAGTAGCTTCCCCTCTCCACAGCCAGTTTCTGTTTGTCTGGCCTGCAGACTTGCAGGAACGTGGCCTCTAATGGTTGAGAAAGGGTGGGTTTAGTGCTCCCATAAGTGTTCTGTAGAAGCACATGGAGTCTATTCGTTCTTATATTGGGGTTTATAACATTCTCATTCCATCAGGGAGGTCATGGTGATGTGACAGCAGGTGCCTGACTCTGTAGTTCAGTCCCATGAGACTCGAGAGTCACTTTCATCTCAAGGAATCCATGGTACCTTGCTGACTTGCAGGAGGGGATCAGGATTGCTCAGTGACCTTTCAGTTCCTCTTTTGCAGTCCGGTGGTTTGGATCGTCCTGCGGTGAGGAACACCAACAAAGGCAGACTGCCGAGTGGCAGAGCGGGACCTCGTCCCAGGGGCAGCAGGTGGTGACCAGGCAAGAAGTGGAACGATTCTTCCTTGACTATATCAGACAGAAGCAGATCGCAGAGGGCAATCTTCCCGACACAGAGGATGAGGAGGCAGGTCAGTACTGTGTGTGACAGAGAAGAGCATGCTCAACTTTGAGAAAGACCCTGACCTCTGAGGTTCACTTTTGTCACATGAAGGACTTGGGACCAGGCTGAAAGCCTAGCACGCTCCTGACCCTGACCTTAGCTCATGTAAGGTGCTGCTGGCTGTTCTTGCTTTGCCAGGGGAGGGAAGAGTGACGTATTTGCAGATCAAGGCTTATCTAGCCCTAAGACACAGGCACACTGTGGTTTTCCTTACCTCATAACAGGTCACTGGGGTCCAGGACCCAAAGTTTCCTCTCTCCAGGAACCTATTGCATTTTCCTCACTCTCCCTTGAGAGTCCCTATACCATTTTCTCCTGGCTAATGATGCCACCACTCTTGTCTCACTTGGCCTTGACAGGCCCTGCAGAGGTTCATATAGGGAACTTTTTAGACTTTACTGGGCTATGCTGCAATCCTGACCTTTAAATACTTCATCTTTAAATACCCAGGCTTTTCATTTTTAATAAAAATCAATGGGAAATAAGTCCATGGTGAGGAGAAACTGCAAATGTCAGACCAGCTGCATTGTCCAGTAAAGAAAGCAAACCTTCCCTAGTCCCACGCTCTTCACTGAAGCTGACACTTAACTCGCATAACTCAAGCATAGACTTGACGATACCTAAATATGTTAAAAAATGCCAAAGGCCTTACTCAGGAATTTGCAGAGTAGTTGTGGGTGGGCGTTGTGATCTCCCAGAACTTCTAAGACATTGTCATGGCTTCAGTAATGGTTTTGTCTTCCAGATGAGGTCCCCCCTCCTGTTAAACCAGAGCAAAACAACTCTGACACAGAAGGAGAAGCTCCACTGCCGAGCCACGCTCAGCTGGCCAAAGATGTGATGGAGAGGTGCATCCACTTGCTGTCCGACGGGAACCTCCGAGTGAGGCTGAAGGTTAGGAAACGCCGGCTTTGGGGGACGGGTGGCCCCCGTGAAGGGGGGCTGGGAGTTCGGCAACATTTGCACGATGCATGTTGGGCTTCCTGCCGCAATGAGGATAGTGCTGCCGCGTGCTTATTCAGGACAGACCCTCCAGCTCAGTCAGGAGAAGGCGAGACACTTTTCTGGGAGCAGTCTGGTTTAGGAATGGCAGCCAGGCTGAATGGAATATTAAGGGTGGCTTCGTATGAGGCACCTTCCCTTGATGCTCGGGGTAGTCAAGTCGTGTGCCTCAGCCCTTGGTGGAAGAAGCAGAAGTATCTTTCTCCCATCTAGGTCTCCCATCCCCCTTCCTCAGTCTGTAGCACACGGACTGAGGAACATTTTTGAAGTTGCTGGGTGATGATAAGCAGGGCTAGAAGCCTGGTTTTAATTATGAAAATCCTTTGAAGGTGGCCTCCTTTTAAACTGCAAAGCAAGACAGAAAATACAGCAGTGAGGCATAACCCAGATTCCTACAGAGAGGCCCCAGCCCTACCAGGTGATCCTGCTGCCACAGGAGCAGTCGGGTCCTAGTGCACAGCTCAGCATGCAGGATCAGGCCGGGACTCCTGCCCTGGTTCCAGCCTGGCTCTGTCGCCCAGCACAGGTTATGTCACTGCACTACTTGTCCCTTTCCAAACAGGCCTGTGCTCTGTGCACTGTTCAGTTATCCCAGTTCACACTGTATTAAAACCCTTTCTTCTCCTGGCTCCCCAGCATGATACTGGGGGTTCACCTGTACGCCTGGTGCTGTAGCGACCTGAAAGTCTGTTGCCTACCCCTCCTGCCCAGGTCCTGGATGTGCTGGAGCTCTGTGTAACTCTGCTGCATCTTCACGGAAACCATCTGCTTCCCATGGCTCATCGTGTCTGGCCAGCTCTCGTCACCCGGCTGATCAGCGATGACCCTCTGGCAGTACTCAGAGCCTTCAAGGTACAGCAGCGAATCTCTGCCAACAGCCTTCAAGCTGGCGCTTAGAAGGCAAGTGGCTCAGGCATTGCTGTGACCCGTGAGAGAAGCGCTAAGCTTGTGGAGTGATTTTTAGGCGTGGTTTGGAACGCAGGGTCACCACCCTGCAGTGGGTAGGCTTGTACCACTCCCACGGCAGCTTGTCCACAGATAAAACCTTGACACTGTTCCTGGGGGAAACAGCAACATTAGCGGTTATTGCAGGGAAGAGGAAAACAGTTCTTTTACAGCCCAAGCAGCTGTCAGAGGCACCTTAGAGTGCAACTTGCCCTTGTTGGAGCCACAGTCTCAGCACCCCCATTTTGAAGTCTTAGACTGAAGAGAAGGGATAGCTTCACGATTGAGGCATAGGCAAGGGAGGGGAGAGGTTAAGCAAAGACTTAGCCTCATAATAACGTTATTAAAGAGCTCCCAACCATGTCAACTCGCTGCATTCTCTTCCTGATTCACAAGTTGGGTAATAAAGCATGTTTCCAGAGGTTGCCAGCCCCAGGATCTCACAGGGCTTCCTCTGCTGTGCGGAATGAGATTCATTTTAGAATCCTTCAGTGTGGTTAAAAGGAGAGTTTTGATTCCTCAAATTCAAGAAGCCATAAACTAGAATTTCAGAGTAGCCACGCCTCACATGTGCCTGCCCTGAAAGAACGGAGAGATCACTACACAAAAACTAAACAACTCCTGAAAAGTTCAAGGGATCCTAGCAATCGATACGGGATTTTGGTTTTGCTGGAAGAAATCGCCCAGGAGTGTCTTCCTTCCTGAACCTCAGGACAGGAAGTGTAGTATTGACATAGCCAGCATCTCAGTCCTGCACACCAAGACCACAAGCTTAGTGAAGTTCCAAGAGAGACCAGGACACTGGCCAGGTGGATTGACCCCCTTCATTTTTATGTGTATTTAAGGCCATCCTCTAGGCCAGTCTGGTTTTTATCCTGGGCACACACCAGTAGTGCTGGGTGCCCTATGACGTAGCCAGTTGGCTTTTCTGTTTGCTGGCATGCTTGTGAAGATGGAATGTTTCCACCACAAAGGTAATTTATATTTTAATGGCGTTTTCCATCAGAGGCTCCTCCAACAATTCTGAGTGAGATTTCACAAGCTACTCTTACCTTTACCATGCTGATGAGAGAAGGGCAGTCCCAGGAGGTTAGCCGTGTGAAACTGGAGAGCAGGGTGCACGTCACTCAGACTCTCAGTCGAGCATTCGCCTTCTGCTCATTAGGGGAAACTGGAAGGTGTGGTCACGTTGCTCTCAACTGCAAAAAATTATCAGGGGAGAATGAATGCCTTATTCCCCAAGGTGGTGCAGATTGCTGAGCTCCTCCCAGACCTGTATGTGCACTTATCCTCCAGTAACTGATGTTTCTCCCCTAGGTCCTATGTACCCTGGCTCAAAAGTGTGGGGACTTCCTGAGGCAGAGATTCTCCAAAGATGTCCTGCCCAAGCTGACCAGTTCCCTCCTCAGCCAGGCCCCAGCAAGTGCCAGAGCCGGGCCTGTGTACAACCACACACTTGCCTTCAAGCTGCAGCTGGCTGTGTTGCAGGGACTGGGTTCTCTGTGCGAGAAGCTGGACATGGGTGAGTACCAGGGAAAGTACAGTTGTGTGAGATCTCTTCCGGACTTTCCTCTTCTCCTTTCATCTCAACTGACCAGGCCTGCACGTGCTTCTTACCCTTCTGCTGCCCCATGGCATTGACTTCCTGATCTTCTCCAGCCTCGTCCCATTCAGGTCCCGCTGGGCTTTAGTTTGTCTTCTGACAGCTCTGTAAAGAGGGGCTGGTTGCTCTTTACTCCCCGAGAGACAAAATGGAGAGAAGACTCCCAGCACCTTGCAGAATCTAACTTGCTCATCTCACTCGTGCATCAGAAGTGGATATAAAGTGGGGTGCCTGGGTTGCTGCAGCTAGGCCTGTTGGGCCATGCTTTGTTCTTAATTTGCAGAACTGGAGCCCAGATAAGACTTCTGGCTACCTTGACTGGTTCCATTTTGGGGCTTCTCTCAGGGTGACCCTTTAATGCAGCACATTGCATTCTTCTATTGAATGAAACTCTCTTAAATTCTCCCAGGTTAAATTTCTGGAGCCGACTTTGGTGAGGGAGAAGGTTTGCTGGCTAGTTGCTCCTTTCCTCCCTCAATGCCCTTGATTGCTTTCCCAGGTTTGCAGCAAGATGCTTAAGAGGTGAGGTCAGAAGAGCTCTGGGTCAGATAGTTCAAAGGCTCAGAAGCCTCTTGCTGCCAATTTAGAGCTGATTCTGTTAGGCAGCAGCTGCTGAGTAGGTTACCTCCTACCCTTCTTTTCTATTCCATTTCTGCAGGTGAGAGTGACCTGAATAAAGTGGCAGATGCCTGCCTGATTTACCTCAGTGCCAAGCAACCCATGAAATTGCAAGAAGCTGCCCAGAGGTAATATCTCTTAAATGCAGGTGTATCAAGTGTCCAAATAATGTGGGACAGAGGGAGCATGGAAACCCCTTTCCTTTTGCACCTTTACCATTCCTCCCCCCAGCACCTTTGAGTCCTGCACAACAGGGTCTCCTGTGGAAGTTAACCCCTTTCTCTGGTGAAGTATCATTTACTACCCAAAACGAGCTAGAGAGGTTAGCTTGCTCACAAGTTCCAGATGACTTTCAGATTACCTTGCGGTGCATTTGGAGACAGAGGGGGAAAATGTGCTCCCTGCGTTTTTTCCCAAGTGCCTCCGATGCTAGAATACTTAGGGTTCTTGGCACACTGGTGGCATCAATCTGTAGAGGGGCCAACAGCTATGCAAGAGTATGTCCCAGACATTCCCATGTATCTTATCGCTTAATACCTCTTGCAGGCTGGGGGATTTACTTCTGTTATCCTTCCATTTTCCCTGGGCTCCTGTGATCACGTGAACCCAGGCTCTGCCAGGTGGACTGGAGTTTGTTTGGGAAGCTGTCAGTCTTGGCACCAGTCTTGCTCTGAAAAGGCTGGGAGAGGTTGAAAGAGCACAAACAGTTTAGATGAATACACATCAGCTCTATGAAGTGTTGACAGACATACTTTGCTGCTTGGTGTACAAAATCCTGCTCAGCATGTTCCTGCTGTCAGGATAAGAAATCACTATTGTCATATGTTGTCACCTGGAAACAAGGCCAGAGATTTCAGCAGGCAAAACAAGCCCACTTACAGAACATGGAAAATGAACAAGCAAGCCGTGCACCTCCACCTCTGCTGAAGGACGGGGGTAACAGCCCCCCTCTTTCTGTGTGGCCAACCGTGCCCTCCCCTGAGGGGAGAGGAGGCCAGCAGTGAGCGGGTTCAGCGGGCACTGCGGATCTCAGAGGGCAGGCTGCTGGAAAGGGAAGAGCTGCCCGTTCCTTTCACCTGAGCACGGGCCTCCCAGGGGGGTGCAGGGTGTGAAGGGCTTTTGTGTGGCTGAGCAGCAGTTAGAGGGAGAGCGCTCTCAGAAGCTGTAGCCATACCTTTGTTTGCATTCCTGCACTGGTGAGAGTAGGTTTATTTTTACCTTAGTGGCTTTTATTGCATCGCAGCAGGCTTCAGCAGCATTTGTTCTGTAAAGGGGTTCTTCGCTGTAGGCTTGCATACCCTTAATACAATAAAGCGTTCATCTGTGTAAGCAATGCTGGAATGGAAAGCAGAACACCAGGATTTATCTAGATATTTGGAATCTTAAGCTTTTAAATCATTAACAAAGCAGTCTGAAAAGCTGTGCAATTTTCCCCCACAGCAGGGGTGGGGGGGAAATACTGAATTAGCCCTATGATGTGATAGGGTCATTAGAAGCTATATTGTGAAGCAAGCTCACTGTTATTGGAGGAAAAGAGCAGCAAAGTTCAGGGCAAGTAATAGTTTTCTCCTGTATATTATTTTTATTCTATTTTAAGGGGAAAATGCCATATGTTACACTTCTTCCCCCATGCCTTTGATGCACTATACATTACGTATTTCACTGAACAAAGCAAGGTCTTCTGTGAACAGCTCTCTCATGTGTAGCTCTGTTGGCCAGACACATGTATGCACCGAGGCATGCAGCATGTCTGGCCTGGTACTAACAGAGCATATGGCAGTACTCGTAGTTTTCTTGCTTTTGTTTTGTTGTTTGTTTGGGTTTTGTTTTTAAGTTCAGTCCTGTTTGATCCCTGGTCTTTGAGCCTGGATGGATCAGTTAAATATAGCACAATCGCTTTTAACTATAGGACACATGATGTGAGGTTTCAGCTTGGTAAAGTCAAAATCTTACCGTAACAATCGGACCCGGCTCCAGTGCCAGGATAAGAATCGCTTCGCAGCCGTGCTTCAGTTTTCTTTCACCAGCTGCTTAACCACCAGATTCCTGTAAGCTCCGGTCCTTTTCCTCGCTCTGCATGTGCCTGAAAGCAGTCCTGCAAACTGACACAGGTTGTCACATGTAAGGCCCTTTCCATCTAGGCAAGGGCAATGTTATCAGCCTGATGCATGAAAAATTCTGCATTTTAAATGCTTCTAAAAACAGATAGACCAGAACTAATCTTAGCCACAGCCTGAGTGCCAACGTACGTCACATAACTCACCTTTATCACTGCAGAAATCATACACGGTAAAAAGATGTTTGGAATCAGCTTGCCATATTGATTTACACTAACTGGCCTTTGCTCAGCTTTTTGGATTCTTATTCAACTCATGAGTTGTGACCTGCCAAGAACAAGGTCAGGTCTTACAAAGTCGGTTGTAGCTCCAATAACTCCCTGCACTAAGTGAGGATTCTGTAGGTGTGCAAAGGGCTAAGCAGGAATTTTTGGCCAACGTGCTAGAGCCACGAAAAAAAAAAAGTTTTGGCTGTCATCCAGGCATGTTATCCTGCCCCAAGGAAGCTGCTTAATCCCATTTATGGGACCCTGTAGTGTTATTAGTTGAACCAGTGGGACTACGTGAATTTTGTGACTGCAGCTTCATGCAATACTCAACAGGCAAAAATAGACACTGGGAGAAAAAAAAACTCCAGCATGTCTGGGGAAGAATGGGACAATAGGCTTTATTGTAAGATGACTGCTGGGAATATTCCGGGAGAAGAATATTATCCAAAGCTTTTAAAAAAAAAAAAAAAAACAAGCAAACAAGCAAAGAAAAAAACCCCAACAAATAAAAAAACCCACCAAAAAAACCCCAAACCTACTGAAGAAGAGTTTGGAAAAGCCAGGGAACACTAGCTATTTCTTCACTTTCATTGAAAATAAACCAGCGCAACCACAGGTAAAGTGTTCAGAAACACTGGAGCAGATGAGGGGTGGTGGTGTGGGGCTTAGGCACTGGGAACAAGGCAGGGGGGAAGACGGTGTAAACTGAAAGTCACAATATGTAAATCTGAGCTTCTCATCAGTTTAAGTTGCATCATCACTGACAAGCTTTTCACTTTGGGGGAAAAGAACTTTGAAGGAAAAGAGATTAAGAAATGTCACTGGACTATGTCAGCACTTCAGAAATAGTTCTGCATTTTTTCAGTCTGAAGGGACTGTTTTGAAATTTACACTTAATAAATGTTTACAGCCCGTGAAGTTTACCATTTGACCTTCCAGTCAACAGTCTGAATAGGAATGGGGTTTTTTTCCAGGATGCAGAAATAATTTCCCCAGTTTTTACTGAAGCCTGTGGTGAACTGTATCTAGTTACACATTCAGCAGAGATGCAAAAGCCAGGAAGGTTTGCCCTTTTCCCAGCCTGTTCACTGTGCCGTGGCCTTGTTTAGAACTTGGGAAAAAGAGAAGGCAACAGAATAGCCAGACTCTGCTGTGTGCTGGTACAGTAAGTCATTTAGCACAACTGGAACAAATATGAGCTATTTTTGGACCTTTTTAGATACCAATGGTGATTATACAGCATACCTCTTGTGGTTTGATTGTGTAGTTTATTGGATACTTACTGACAGCTGTCATTCACAAGCTGGGCTGAAGTACACTAAAACAGCCACCTGCACAAGGCAAAATTCAATAACATTATATTTAAGTTGAAAAAAAAGCAACAACAGAAAACAAACCTGGATTAACCCCAGGATTCTTTGCCATGGAAACAGGTTGCTTAGAAACTACCCCAGAGTTAGTTTGAAAATGTAAAAGTCAAGTTCTTTAAGCAGCACAGCACTCCAGGTTATCAGGAGATAATCACACGCCTCAGGCCATTAGGGCACAAGAGGCAGTGCCGTTCTCCAGGGACCCGCTAATCTCTCGAGGGTTGCTCTCGCCAGAGCAGCTGGTTGGGGAGAGGTTGGAGAGCAGAGCGCCTTTGGTGCGAGTGGGAGAGGTGAAGTTGTGCACGTGCTGGAGAGGCAGAAGCCAGCCAGATAGTATTCCCTGCTCCCGTGGTCACTTCCCAGTGATTCCTCTTGTTTGCCCGGTCCTGTCCACCCTGGCCATAAGGAGCGAGGATTATTTCTGTGCAGCTGCCGGCCAGCAGCAGCCCCTCGTGGGGCAGGGGAAGCCCCAGGGCCCTCTGCTCTTCGCTGGCAGGCGGCGGCACGCTCCCCGGCACGGCCAGGGGAGCCCCAGGATGGCCAGGGGAGCCCCGGGATGGCCAGGGGAGCCCCTGCAGGGCCAGGGGAGCCCCTGCAGGGCCAGGGGAGCCCCGGAACAGCCAGGGGAGCCCCAGGACAGCCAGGGGAGCCCCTGCAGGGCCAGGGGAGCCCCGGCACGGCCAGGGGAGCCCCAGGACAGCCAGGGGAGCCCCTGCAGGGCCAGGGGAGCCCCGGGACGGCCGGGAGAGCCCCGGCACGGCCAGGGGACCTGGCGCAGGGGTGGCAGCAGGTCCAGGCTCTCGACCCGGCGTGCGCTTCGCTCCGCCTGGCACCGGGGCCGGGCCAGCCGTCGCTTTTCCAGCCAGCAGAGCTGCAGGAACAGAGCCCGGGGAGCAGAGAGCCCCGGGAGCCCACCTGCGCCTGGCTGTCCCCCGGGAAGAAGGCACGTCGCTGCCGAGCCCGGCTGTGGCGTCAGAGCACGTTCACGCCGCGTTGCCCTGCAGCAGGCGGACAGGCGCTGCAGGCGCCTTCGCGAGGGGACGCTGCCAGCAGCTTCCAGCGGCAGCGTGTCCCCTCAGCGCTGTCGGGGGCCTGCACCGAGGCAGAGGCACGGTCAGTGGCGGGCAGGCATCAGCACCCGCTCCGGCTGCTTGTGGGGGAGCAGCCACGAGATTACTGGGAAGAGCTGAGGGCGTTTTTGAGTGCCTCCATCTCATTTCTGTGCTTTTTCAGGTTACCCGTGGCACTGCACTCCCTTTCGGAAGAGCTTCTAAAAGGGATTTCTGCCTGCTTTACATAGGAAGCAAGCGCAATTTAGGGATAGAAGTGCTTCAGGGAGAATTTTTACAGCAATCAGATCTGGATTTCGTGTGGCTTTTGTAGCAGGTGATCTTTGATTTTGGAGAGAGGAGTTCTCTCCTGTGCTGCCTGGGGGAACAGAGACAAACCTACCTTCTGATTTCTCTTCCCGTTACCTCACCCAGCTGCTTTTCTCCTCATGGCCCCATGATTTCAGTAGAAATGAGACCTGAAGATGTGTGGCTGTGGCTAGGTCTTGAAAAGCTGACCCGAAAGTCTGATGAGTGCTGAGTACCCTCAGTGCTCATAATCTCTGTGGGAGCACAGGATACTCAGCACCATGCAGAAAGAGGCCCTGTAGTGCTGTCGGGGCAGCCTGCATAGTCGAGTTTAATTTTGTACATGGCACAGACAGAGAACGTAACGCTTGTTAAGCCCAATACACCTCCTGTGCATTAAACCCTGACACAGACCTAGCTAAGCCCAAAAGTCACTGACAGTGAGAACCGGCAGAAAGAAATGAGTGAGTGTAGGTCATAGAAATCAGCTCCTCAGAGCTTCCTGCCCTGCAGCCAGCCTGTCCCAGCACCTTCCTCACAGCAGCTCACAGCAGGATCAGAAGCATGACTGCAGACTCCAAAGCCAAATCCCCCACCTTGCCCAGGGTATTGAAATTCAAAGCGAAAACCATCTAATGCTTTAGTGCTGTGTTGAGAAAATTGTCGTGCCTCTCTTCCTCCCTTCTGTTGTTAATGAAGGTTGTTAGCTTTGGGGTTTTTGTTTAAAAAGGAAATCCTGCTTTGTGAAAGGTGCTGTGCAGAAGGAAGAAAATGTGGAGGGAGCTAGTAAAGACTCGGGATGAGGGGAGACCTCACAGCAGCAAAAAGCCCTCAATAGAGCATCCAACTTCACTTGTGGGCCAGCCTGGGCAGCTGGCCAGAACTACTCTTGGTTCTACCACCTCTGAGAGGGGAGATCGATCCAGATGGGTTGACCCCCCTCACTCCCCAAAAACCAGAGAGGGTGGTGGACAACATATACAACTTCTTTTAAGAGCTCTGCAGGAGTGATTGTCCAAAACCTACCAGCTGTAAGCAGCACGTGCAGCACTCTGCAGTCACCTCTCCAGCCTGGGTCAGTTACTCACCAGCTGCTGGTTTGGGGTCGATAACTTACTGTGTAGCGTAACAACTGGTTTTTCTCCCACTTGCCAGTAGATGTACCACCACTGACCTGCCTCCTCTTGGACACAGGAGCCATTTTCACGGTACTCGCTAATGAGCCTCCAGACGTCAGAGCTTTCCGTAGCTCTGTTAGTGACCTTGTTGGGTGCCAGTCAAAAGGCCCTCTCCTTACTCTTCTCTCCTTTCTTCCCACTGTTTTCCAAAGCGTTTTCCTCCACTTAATGCACGTGGACCCTGACAGCACCTGGCTCCTCCTGAGCGAGGTCTGCTGCCCGCACCAGTACGAGCCCCCCCACGCCAGCCTGCGGCCCGTGAAGCTGCGTGGGATGGGGAGCCAGCGGAACGAGTTCACCGACAACGTGCTGCTGCTGCTGGAACGGCTGCAGCTGCGGGAGCGCGCGGTGCCGCGGGCAGGCGCACCGGGGGCATCTCCTCCCTGACGGACCCACGCAGCGGCCGGGGGGGGAAAGAGGAACCGCAGGAGAGAGCTCGCCCGGGAAAATGCCGCCGCTTGGGCCCCAGATCATCCGGCGGGCAAAGAAGGGACTGCCCAGTCTGGGGCACTGGCCAAGACACCTTCCCCCTGGGCAGAAGTTTACTTTTTTAAAACAGTGTTAGAGGATGAGGCGGGTACCTTGCCCTCATTCCTGCAGGCTTGTACTTCTCTGCACACGGTGCTGGAAGGAACAAGTTCTTCAGCACAAAGAGTCATTTTCCAGAAATGACTTCCCAACACTGGATCCTTGGGTGGTGCCCCTTCACCACACCCCCCAAATCCCCTCTGACCTCCTCACAAGTGTGACGCTCCCTCCTGTTCTCAGCTGGACAACCATTGCCAACTCAAAACAAAAGCTTTTTCTGGCTTTAACCCTTCCCAGGGAGAGAATCCAGCTTGGGGTGCATTGAGAACCTTTTCTTTTTAAAGCCACTTAATATCAGAAACCGTTAAAATGCATTTCCAATCAATTCCTCACCAGTATTACTGGCAAGAACAACATGTCCTCTCAGAAACACCAAGGCTGTTCCTTGCAGTCTGCTTGGACTGGCTGCGGAGACTGGCCGACTGCTCTGCGCTCCCCCGTTCTCACCACCGCGTGCGAGACGTTCTCTAGGGAAACGTCCAGCCCTGATTTACAACGAGCGCATGATTTACGGCTCCTCGTTCCCTGCCTGCCTGCCATTCTCGCAGGCCATTTCTTAGACCTCTCGGATTTTTAACACCCACCCCAAGGAGAACTCGCTGAAGCACCTCCCCGTGCCCCGGCGCGGCCTCCCGGGCGGGTACAGGCGGTGCCACGGGTGTGAGCACGGCGGTGCCACGCTGTGCCGCTGTTTGCTGGCGCAGCGCCGGCGGGCAGGGGGACGGCTCCGGGGTCTGCTGCCTGCCCGAGGGGCTCCCCTCGGGAGCAGGGCACAGGCTCTCCGCCCGCCCGGGAGCTGCTGGAGCCTGTTCCAGCTCCCGCGTCCTCCAGGCTCCGGCCCCAGAGATGGTCTCTGAGGGCGCTGCTTTACCTGCTGCTCCCAGACCGCGCCGTCTCCCGGGCTCGTCGCCTTCACCCACAGCAACATCTGGCAGCAGGCTGCCTCCTGACACGTGTGAAAGTTTTGTGCTGGTAAAGCAAAAGGACAGATCTTGACTAAATTTGGAAGCAAGCTCAGAAATGCAAAAACCAAAGCAATAAACTGATTGTTACATGGAACAGGCTCTGTGCATCACTGTTGGGGATCTTGGGTGAATGTCCAAAACGCCTCTCGACTGTTGGGACCAAGGGAACTGCTGCTGATGCCCACCCCCCCTCAGCTGAGATTACCTCCCCTTGTCTCCCTGGCTTCCTTCAGGCTTTGCTCCTGGTTGCTCCTCCAGGAGAAACACAAGTCAGTGGCTTTCTATCAGGTGGGACAGGGCTGCAGTGCAGCTTTTACACTTTTTTTAGTATATATTCAGTGCTTAGCACCGGGTTGGATTCTGTACAAAGGAACCCTTCAGAGTTATCTGGCAGGGGAGGACAGGAGAGGCAGAAAGGTGAAACATTACCTTTGGTCTCCAAAGCCCCCCTGGGCTTGGTGCAGAATTTTCTGGGTTGTTGTAGCACCCGATAAAGCTCATCAATCAGGTGCACGTGCCGCGCCGTCTCTGCCGTGCCTCCAGCGCTGGCTGGAGCTCGCACGTTCCGCGATGGCACCCGGGGCTCCTGCCCAAACCTGGCCCGGGTCCCTGCCTGCCGTTGGGGGCTGCGCCTCTTGCCAGGGAGGCACAAGTGAACCGCTGCCACGGGAGACCTGTGCCACCGCCCCGCAGCTCGCTGTCAGCCCCCAGGAGAAGCCCCCACCCCCCATTGCCGTCCCTCACCGGCTGGGCACGGCCTGCGGGCCTCATACAGGGATTTATCTGCACGCGCTCTGCACTGCGCGAATTGCTCACCTCTGGGAAGCAGAGGTAGCCCAGCCTTGCTGGATTCACCTCCACTGAGACAAAGCAAGCTTAGAAGAAAAGCCGATAACCTTTCTTCTAGTGGGTTTTTGTTTGTTTGGTTTTTTTTTTTTTTAAATAAAGTTGTACCCATTTCTGAAAGGAAATGCATAAACCCAAATGGCACCTGCAGCATCTGCCACAGCGGAACACCCCCCCCGTGCCGTGCCATCCCAGCACCAGCCCCGTACAGCCCGTGCACAGGCAGCAGCTGCCGGGACGAGCCCCGTGGTCGGGGGTCTCAGGGCACCCCACCCGAGCCCAGACCAGCCGCCTCCTCCCCTCCCACGGCCACGCGAGGCGGGCGGCCGCTCTCCCTGAGCGGGACAGGGCAGAGAGGAGCGGAATTAGAGCGAGTTCTCGTAATTACCACCTTCCCCACGCAGTGGGGCCGGTGGGAGGGGAGCAACTGGAATCGGCTGCATCCGTCGGGGAGGGGCCCTTGGGCTGCTGCGCCAGCGTGGGCTTCCTGGTGACCCCACAACGCAGCCGTCCAGTCTGGGGGCTGATGAGCCCTCGCAGGAAGCCGGGCTCCCGCAGAGATGCTGATGGGGCTCGGGGGCTGCCGCCACGCGTCCCCCTGGGGCTGACGGGGCACCGGCTGCCGGTCACTGCCCCGGCGCAGCGGGGACCGGGGCGCTCAGGCCCTTGGGACAGCGAGGGCACGGTGCTGCTGGCCCCAGGGGGACAGGGCAGGACCCTCCTGTGACGCCCCTTCCCAGCACAGGGACGCTGTGTCCACGCAGCCCCTTCTCCCACTGGGCGTTACTGAGGCGGGCAGAGCGCTGCGGACTGGGGGGGGGGTCTGACCCCTGCTCCCCCAGAGCACCCTCCCCCTCGCCCAGCGAGCAGGCTGCCGCGTTGGGCACTGCACCAGCCCATGTCCCAGTGCCTCCAGCACAACCGACTGCGCCGAGGCGGCACAGAGCCCCAGTGCCCGTGTCTCCAGGGGCTCCACAGCTCTCCTGGAGATTTTCCCCCCCAGCCACAGGCCCCAGCCAGCCGTTTGGTGTGGGTGGCGGGGAGAGGCTGGCCTGTCTCAGTCACACAGCCGCCTGTCACGGCTCTTCTCAGCTTCGTTATCACCCCTGCTTTATTACAGGCAGAGTAAATTGCTTTTGTCTGAAGCAGGATAATGGCCAGAAGAGTGACTGCGTGGAAATGGCATTTTCATGAGGCTGGTTCCTCCCCAGCAGTGACTTGCATATTAAGCTCAGCCCGTTTGCAAGCCAGCCCAGGGGCTTCTCCGCTGCCCTGCACACACCCTCCTCCCGGGTGGGTGCCTGAGCAGCCCCCCCAACCTGCTGGGGTCTGGGGCCAAGCTGGGGACAGCACCCAGAGCTACAGGAGGGGTGCGCAGCTCCAGCCCCCTGAGCACCCCCACCACCCTGGAGGAGACCCGGCCCCAGGGGAGGCAGAGCCAGGGGGGCCGGGTGGGGGGCACGACCCTTCCCAGGCGCAGCGAGGGGGGCTGCCAGCCGGCTCACCCCGCTCCAGCCACCCACCCCGGGGTTGGGGAGCAGAGAAACCCGTGTCCAGGCGGCTCCTCCACGCACAGACCCAGCCAGGAACTGGGTGAGAGCCTCCACCCAGGGGTGGGGGCACAGCCCCACGTACAGCCCCCCGGGGTCGGGTGCTGCCCCAGGGTTGGGGTGCTCCTGCACCCTGATGTGGCAGGGTCCTCTCTGACTCCCGCTCCCAGGATTTCATATAAACTCAGCAAAATTAATCTCTTCTAATAAAACCTGTTATTTTTAAAGCTCGCCTCTAGGTTTTGCAAATTACTACACCACACAGCAATTTGTTTACTCTCCATTTGAGGTGATTTGCAGCCTTTTACCCTCCCCTAGAGCTCTGGCTCTTCTTTTTTCTCCTCCATAGGCTGTTTTTCACAGCGCTGGTGGCCGATGCCTCCTGCTCCCTCTCCTCCCGCAGCGACACGGTTTCCTGACAAGGAGCACCCGAGTGCAGCACAACCCCCCCAGCTCTGCCAAGAGCTACGGCGCCGCAGCTCTTACTGCTTGTGGCAAAGCAGAATTTCCAACAACAGCCCCCTTGCCCTGCAGCTGCTTAATATTTTTCTCCTGACAACGTACCCTGTGTGTTCACAGCCTCCTGGGCCGTTTGCTCCCCCGAGCCCGTGGCTCTGCGGGTGACAGCCACAGCAGGTGGCAAAGGAGAGCCTGGCTCTCCCCGCATCCCGCAGTCACCAGCCGCACCGTGCCCTTCCTCTGCCGCGGGCGCTGGCTGACACCGGGCCAGCGGCTTTTGCTTTTGTTACTCTAATACATGACAAATCGTTTCATATCAGCAAAGCGAGAGGTGAGCGCTACAGAGCCCCGGGGATTAATAAACTGCAAAGCAGCCAGGGGACTCCTGGCAGCTGGGGCCAAGCTGGCCACAGCCAATGCTGGGAGCACCTCTCCCACTGGTGGGGCAGGGCCTGGCCCTGGGGGGCAGCCAGCACCCCCACTTTGGGGACCCTGACCCCCTGCCCGGCTGGAGACAAGGCCTTTGCTCCACGCACACAGGCAGGGGTCGAGGGTGGCACCCGGCAGCACAGAGAGGGGCCAGACCTCAGCAGCCCACCCAGCCTCCCCCCACGGCTCCCAGCACCCCGGGGGCATGGTGCAGAGCAGCCCCTGCTCACCTGGACCTGGCCGCATCCTGCACTCACGGGGACAGCATCACCCTGCCCCCAGGCAGGGCCCGTAGCTCCCCAGCTGCAGCTTTTAAATGCTCTGGGCCTCCAGCTGCAGGTGGTGATGCCCGGCCCTGGCCCTGGCCCCAGCCCCAGCCCCAGCCCCGCCATTCCCGGGGCAGCCCCACTGTGCCCCCTTTCAGCCAAGACAATGTCAAAGCCACGTCCCCTCGGCGTGCCAGGGACAGAGACCGCACACCCGCAGAGGCTTCGTTTAAAGAGCTTTATTAGCTGCAGCAGGTCTGGTGGTGGCAGGGTGAGTGGCGTGGGTGAGCCATGGCAGGGGAGCAGCGCCCGGCACCCGGATGGGCAGACTGGGGACCCCCTCCTCTCCCTCCCCGCGGCCCCGTCCCCAGCAGCGGTGTTCACCCGCGGGGGCAGCGGGGACGGGCTCTGCCGTTTGCACGGTGAGCCGGACACCGCCCGGGATGGCGCGGTGCCGCGGTGCCGGACGGGGGGCTTGGCCGGGAGCGAGGGGCTGGGAGCCACGCCAGCACGGGCAGCGGGGACGGAGCGAGGGCAGGCGGGGCTGACGGCCGAGCCCCCCCGCTTCCTCCATGAAATGCAAAGGGCCGGGAGGAGCAGCGGGTGACGGCGGGGCAGCTCTGACGGCGCGGTTCCCCGGGCACACGCGGGCCGCGGGCAACAGCCTGGCTGGGCGATGCCGCGGCACAGCCCGCAGCACCATGGCTGTGCTGGGCAGCGTGCCGGGAGCGTGCCGGGAGCGTGCCGTGCCGTCCTCCCGCCGCTGAACTCGGGCCTTGACGGGCTGGGGCGGCTTTGGGGCAGGCAGGGGCAGGGCGCGGCGATACACACGGTCTGTGAGGTGGATGCTGGAACTTAGATACGCACTGCGGGGCTGGAACAGAGCAACTAAACTGGGCCTCCTACGGGAACGGACGGTCGGTTCTGCAAAGCACGGGGGAGTGCGAGGGGGGTCCCGTGGGCGGGGGGGTCCTCCCCAGCGGGCACACCGAGCTGGGGCGCGACACGGCCCGGGGCACCGCGGGTGGCAGCAAGCAGCGGGGTCCCCGCCTGCACGGGGCCGCTGGGGACAGGGACCATCATGTGCGGGCGTTCGCCCCGGCCCCCGGCACGGTCCCGGCGATGCCCCCCCGGCACGGACACGGCCCTGCTCCCACACCGAGCCCTGGCACCGCTGCGCCGCGTGGCCGGGGAAGAAACCGAGGCGGCGGCGGCCGGCGGGAGGAGGAGGTGGTGGGGGGTGGCGGGCAAGACGGGGGCGGTGGGGCCAGTCTCTGGCAGGGGGTGCGGGACCCTCGACGGCTCCGCTGAGTCCGGGGCGGCGGGGGGCTCCGGCGTCCCCCCCCGGCACCGCCCGCTTACAGCACGCAGGAGGCGTCTGCCGAGCGCTTCTTCAGCTCCTTCCCGGCTTTGTGGTGGTGGTGGTGGTGGTGCGCGTGGGCCGAGCCCGGCGCGGCGGGGTCCGGCAGCGGGGCGCCCCGCAGCTGGGTGTCCTGGGGGTGCCCCGCGCCCCCCGCCGCCTCCACCCGCAGGTACGCCTTCACCTTGTGGTGCCGTGCCTTGCCGTCGCTGGAGTCGATCACCCGGCACTCGTACGTCCCCTCGTCCTCCGGCTTCACCCGCGACAGCCGCAGCTTGTGGGAGATGTTGCTGCCGACCACCTTCACCACCTGCGGCAGGGCAGACGGGGGGGTCAGGCAGCCCCCGGGACCCCCGCGGCCCCCAGACTGACTCCCGGGTCGGTGCCACCCCCGTTTGTGTGCTGCCACGCCGCACCCCGGCCACGTGCCGGGGGGGGACACGGCGACGGTGGGCGAAGCCGGGCAGTCGGCGCAGGGGGACCCCGGCCCACGGGATGACGGAGGCCCTGGCGCATGCCCGGCTGCGCGGGGCTCGGAGATCGATGCGGAACCACGCCGGCTAATTAGCTTTTCTACCAAATTGATTCGCTCTCAGTATTTATCACCCAATGAAATTTAAGACTTACTCACTAGCCAGAGCCACGGCTGCTGTTGGGCTGGGTCAATAAATCAGATTTATAACCCACCCCGAGGCCCCTGGCTCTGTTCCCTATAATCACACTGGATGGCAAAGGCCATTTTTCTACTTGCTGCTGCATTTGTTAGCTGAAGATTTTATGGTGTTTAGAAATGGGGCTGGGAGCCGCAACCAAAGAGACGCAAACTCCCAGCCCAAAAGGCAAAGGCGGCAGCGCGGGAACGCGGGCGGCAGCGCGGGGCTCGGGACCCCTCACCGTCCCCTCCGGCGGCTGAGCCAGCGCCCGCGCCCGCGTGCAAACACACACACATGCATATGCACATGCATGCACACGCCAGCACATGCAAGCACACGTGAGCGGCTGTGTCCGGCTGCCCTGCGCCCCGTGGGCCCGGAGAGGCGGCCGGTGCCGCACGCCGGGGCCGGGGCCACCCCCAAGGGCGGCTCTGGGGCCGCTCGGAGCCCACGGGCAGCCGGAGCACCGATCCTGCGGGGCCGGCGATGGGGCCCGTGGGGCTGGTGCTGTGGCAGGGTCATTCCCCCGAGGCAGGCTCCGAGCAGCCCCCGAGCCGGGGCGGGGAGGCAGGAGGCAGGCGGCCCCAGCACGAGCGCGCTGAGGCCATCACGGGAAAGGTGCTTCCGAAAAAGTCCTTTGTGTCAGAAGGGCAAACAGTCACTTACCAAAATTAATGGCTGGGAAATTCAGAACTAATAAAAGAAAACCCCAATTTGCTGGTGCTGCCAGTGGCTGTGGAGCCGCTGCCCAGCAGGTCACGGAGCCTCAGCCCGCGGCTCGGTCAGGAGCAGAGAGGATTTTATGACCGGCCGTAATGCTCATGGCCTGCGCTGCCCCGCGGGAACGGGGGGAGAGACCCCCGGGCCAGGCCAGGCAGACGGCCGCGGCGGTGCCCGGCCCCAGCTCAGCCCCGCAGCATGCCGCTGCTCGGCAACAAAACGGCGGGTTTAAAGAATTCAAGGAGGAAAAAATAAATCCAGACCCATCGTGTTTGCTACCGCACGCGGCGGTTTCCCTCCCGGCGTCCCCACAAAGCCCGGCGGCTCCAGGCAGCGCCGGTGCCAGCACCTCCAGCTCCACGACTGTTTTGGTGGATAAAAAATGGCCACGGGGGTGCCTGCTGCCGTGGTTTCTGCATATGATTTACATCGCCTTGCATTGTTTGACGCCGCCGTTTGTTCTCAGTCAATTGCCTCCGTGGCTGTAACGTACATTTTATCAGAACCGCTCGCGGTGGTGTCTCACCCGTGTTCATTTATCTCCTCCATTCTGTAAACACTTAGTAATCAAGGACATTTAAAATAACAACAAAAAAAAGGTTTAAAACTCAAGCCTCTCCCTGCTGGCTTGATCTGGAGGAGACAGCAGAAGCGTCACACCCCGAGCGCTTCAACATAAATCCTGGTTACACATGCACACGCATCGATTACATTCCAGCGTGCAATTAACTGCCTAATTATGCTGAAAAATGCAACGGCCGAGCGGAGCGGGAGCGCTGGCCCCGGGACGGCTCGGCTGCCCCCGCACCCGCCGCGGCCCCTCCTGCCACCCCGGCGGGTCCTGCCGGCCCTTGGCTCTAGCACAGCACCAGCTCCCAGCCGCGCGGCCCTGCCCGGCACAGGATTTGGCCCCCAGCCCCCAGCCAGCCTGGGGCACTGGGACCCCGAAATCCTCAGCGGTGGGAGCAAAGCGCTGCGCCCTGGGAGCGGGGCTGCGGTGGGACGGGGGGCGGCCGCCCTCCCCAGCCGTGCAGGCAGACCCTCGTGTGTGTGTGTGTCCCAGTGGGGGGGGGGGTTGGGTGGGCATCACGGTGCCCATCATGGGACTGGTGCCAAACGGGGCTGAGACCTCGGGCAGCCGCCCTGAGGCTGTGGTCCTGTGGGGGATTCATTACCGGCAAGAATCTACACGCGCCGATGCCCACGGGCGGGAGATGAGAGGCGACGCTCTCCATCGTGAAGGTGTTCGGCATTTTACCCCTCGTAAACGGCTCCGTCGCTTCCCGGGGATGAGAGTTGGGCAGAGGGACTGATCCTGGGCACGGGGCACCCGGCCCCAAGGAGCCGTGGGCGCATGGCGAGCCCCGTCCCCCCTTGCTGGCTCAGCGAGGGAAAAATGGGAGAACCAGAGGAGGCTGCCAGGGCCAGCGCCTGCTGATATCGCTCTGTTTCTGTGGCACCCCCAAATGTGGAGCCCCCCGAGGTGGGGAAGGCCGGGGGGTGGGGGGGGCACACACCTGACAGCAGGAGCCTGAAAGCATTTACTTTATTTAACTGATTAATGTCTCCTCATTCTGTTCAGGTGGGCCTAAATGGCTTTGGGATGCTAATCTGGGGAGTAAATTAGGTTATTTTCTCTTTAGCATAAACGTGTCCCTCAGATGCTGACAGGAGCCGGGGGGAGGCTCGGGGTCCAGGCTGTGACCCCCAGCGCTGGCGGGGGAGAGTCGCCCCTCACCCTGGCTGCTCCCAGGGCCGAGTTGGGGCACATCCAGCCCCCTCCCCAGTACTGGCAGCTCCAGTGGGACCAGACACCCCCCCCCCATCCCCTGGGATGCCTCATCCAGGGGCACCCGGCCTTGCACAGAGACACCGACCCCAGGAGCCCCCCCCCCAGCTCTGTGCAACGCTGAGCACCGGCGTCGCGGGGAAACGCACCAGCCGAGCCCCCGGCCGCAGCCCCCGCAGGAGCCACTCCAGCCAAACTCACGCTTATTTTCGTTGCGTCCTTCCCGGGCTCCTCCTGCGGTGACACTTTCAGCTGTTGGGAAGAGGATGGGGAGGGAGACCAGAGAGGGAAGAGAGATTGTCAGCTCGGCTGGGCGGAGGCAGGAGCCCACCGGCCCCCTGCCCGCCCCCAGGCTGGCTGCCCCGGGTGAGGAGGAGAGGGGAGAAGGGGGCTGCTCAGCCCCAGTGAACCCAGGCATCTGGGAAGGGAAGGGACTGGCAGCACCAGAGCACCACGGCAGCTGGGGGGGACAGGGTGCCCACCCGAGGGTCCCCGCTGACCCTCAGCTCTGTCAGCGGGTGCTCCCCATCGCCCGGGGCTGGGGACAGAGCCCCGCTCGCCGTGGTGCCCCCCTGCAGCAGTGACCCTGTCCCCAGCGACCCCGGCCCCCCCTCAGCCAGCGCTGCCCCAATTACCATTAAATATTCCCAAATCAGCCGGCAAGGCGGGCCGCAGCCCACGTCCCCTTCGGCAGCTCCCCACGGCACCACGCCGGGCTGCCCCCCACCACCCCTCACCCCCGTGGCCCCCCAGCAGTGCTCCCGAGCGGCAGCACTTCCCCGAAGCTTCTCTCAATTTATGGTAATACCAGTAGCAGCTCTGCCAAAGACACAATAATAAAGGCTCATTAAAATACCTAAAGCTGCCTTCCCATTATTTGGCCCTTATCTCTGTGTGAACAGAAAGAGAAATAAAGAGCCAGCTGTTTGCCGAGACCGATACACACGGAAATGGGGAAACCAAGGGAGGGCTGGGGGGGCGGCTGCAAGGGGACGGGTTGGTGCTGCGATGGGGGAAGGCACAAGCACAGAGACAAAGGCTCTGCCTGGGATCAGTCCCGGGGGATGTTCCCCGCAGCCCCTCGGCTAATTGGGAAGGGTGGACAGGACAGCCCAGCCTCGCCGGCCCTGCGCCCCGGAGCACCCTGAGCGCGGAGCAGAGCGGGGCCAAAGGGGGGGCCGAGCCCCCGCCGCTGCCGGCGGGTCTGGTCAGCGCTGGGGATGCTGCTGTGGGACGGGGACCCCCGAGCCCCAACCGCTGCTGCGAGTGAAGCCCCCGGCGAGCGCAGGGAAGGGCTCTGCCTCTCGGTGCTGCTGCCGGAGCCGGAGGACGAGGGGCACTACCTGGTTGGAAGCCCACGTCTGTTTGTCCGTCCAGTCCTTGTGGTTGCGGACGTACCACCACTGTATCTCGAGGGAGTAGGAGGGGGAGCCGCTGCCTCGGAAGGAGCACGCCATCTCCACGTCCTCGCCCGCCTGGGCCGTCATGTCATGGGGGGTCTCGGTGAAGAGCGCTGCGGGAGACAGAGTGAGGGCTGCGGGGACGCGCCACCGCCCCGGCGAGGGACGGTGCCCCCGGCCACGCGAGCGGGGTCACCGGGAGTGCCCGACCCTGCCCCGGCCAGACAGACCCGGCACCCTCGGCGGAGGGGACAGGTCCCTGCCGCGCAGGGGGATGCCCTCCCTGTCCCCAGCTTCCCCTCGCCCACCCCAGGGCCCCCTCCCCAACAGAGCCACCCACCTCCCCAACCCCCGGCACTTTGCAAAGAGCAGTGGGAGGGAAGCGGGGAGCAGGAGCCTCGGGGACCCCCCGCTCCCACGCCACCCCCCCAGGACCTCTACCCAAAGTAAGCATGGGACCCTGTGCACCTCCGAGGTGTAATAAATAAATAAAGCATGATTGCATCTCTGCTTAGATCAGAACATAAATGAAAAACAAATCCTTGTTTAATGCGGCCCCCAAACAGTCTCCCACATGCCATATGGTTTGCTTTCCTCGCTCAAAACAAATATTGTTCGGAGATGTAATTAGAATTCTTTTCATCTCCTCTGGAGAGATTATTGTTCCTCTGTAAAGACGGTCCCGGAGTGCAGGTCACCAGCAAATGTTATTGTCACAATCTGTGGCGGCTTCTCCCCGGAACAGGGATGGGGGCTGAGCCCTCAACATCAGCACGGCCGGGCCTGGGGCTGCCAGCCTCCCCCCACCCCCTGGCCGCTGCTTCGGCCACCAAGGCGGGCAGGGGCAGGGGCAGGGGCTGTGGGGTGCGGGGACCACCTGCCCTGTCCCCACCACCCACCACTGCGGGGCCAGCGGCAGCACTGGGATGAACCTGGTGCAGCTGAAATCTGCTCCAGCGTGGGGTCAGCCGTCCTTGCCCGTCCCTGCCCCTCCACGAGCCGTGGCACGCTGTGCCCAGCCCACGAGGGTCACAGAGCCCGGGTCAGGGTCCCGCTGGGTCTGTGCCGGGTGCCCTGTGCCCTCCCACCTCGTGCCGCCGGCGCTGCCGGCTCACAGCCACCGCCCAGGTCCCTCGGGTTCCGCCGGAGCGCCCCAGGACGCTCACCCCATTGGAAACACCTCCCTGGGGCTTCTCACCAAGCCCTGATCCCTCTGAAAACGAATTATTATCAGCCCAGACGGAATAGCTAATACCTTTAATATCTCCCCGTCCCTCTGGACGCATGGAAATCCCATATAGTTATCACTTTCCTTTAATCCATCTTAGCGGGGGAACGGAGGGAAATATGCAGCATAAGGGTTTAACAAGTCTGGGTCTCCCGGCGCGGTTCCCAGCACGGCTCCTGCGCCCCCAGTCGCCCGGGACCCCGGTGCCGGCTGCCGCCGGGCTCTGTGCCGGAATCCCGGGCCAGGGACCAGCACCGGCCCTCGAGGGCTGCGGGAAGAGCCGGAGGGTCCGGTGGTGCTGGGCCGTTATGTCCAGCCATAAACCAACACTCACCCACCCGCTCCCGGCCGTGGGCTCCGCAGGATTCGTGCCAGTGGGACCGAGGGCCAGAGCCCCAGCGTCCCGGCAGAGCCTGCACCGACCCCCTGGCCCCCACGGCCCTGGGGGGCACGCAGGGCAGAGGGGGGTGATGGCCCGAGGGCTCCAGCCATGACCAAATTACTCTGAACACAATTGAAATCCACTCCCACAGACGGGAATTTGGCAGATGAGCGGAGAAAAGGCTTGATTGAATCAAGCGCCTCCTTTCTTTCAGATTTAATTGGGAAGCGTATGTACTAATTAACCCCAGGGCTCGGCCGCCTTAGAGTGTGTCCAAAGGAGCGCAGGTCCTGCTGATGGCCCAGCCAGCCCTGCCGCAGCCCCCACCCCAGGAGCCCCCTCCCACAGCACCCCTGGGGACCACAGCCCCCACCGCTGCCCCCAGGGCCCCGACCCCCCCCCCCCTTCCCCAGCGCAGCGGCTCTGAGTGACAAGCTCCTAACAGACAGCCCATAAACCATCCTGGGAAAGAGGGATGGACAGACGGACAACCAAGTCTGACAGCAGGAGGGAAGGTTAGGCCAGTCCCTCCCTCCCAGCACACCCCGGCCCTTCGTCCCCCTCTTCTGCCTCGCTGCGCCGCCTTCGCACGGGACGGGGCGGGTGGTGGGAACCGGCTGGGCGGTGGGCGCAGCCCCGCTGCGGGAATCGGGAGCGGAGGTGTTTGCAGAGCTGCTGAGCTCCAGCACCAGCATTGAACTGTGCTTTCGGGGGGGGGGGGGATGTGCTGGAAACCCCCCCTTGCGCTGGGCTGACACACAGCTCCACGGCTGGCTCAGCCCCAGCTCAGCTCCGCGCAGGCTGCGGCCCGATCCCGGGCACAGCCACCACTGACGGGCACCCTCCCTCCCGCACACCAGTCTGTGACCAACCCCCCTGACCCTGAGCCTAACCCTGAGCCTGACCCTGAGCCTGACCCTGAGCCTGACCCTGAGCCTGCCCAGCGCCAGAGCAAAGGGCAGGAGCACCAGACCTGCACCACTGGCAAAGGGAATGTGAAGAATTGCGCTAACCAGGGCTGTGCCCCTGGAAGTGACGGGCAGCTTGGGGACTGTCGGAAGGGGCTGTGGCAGCGGTGGTGGGGCAGAAGGGCAGCGTGTGCCCACAGACCCCCCAGCCCGCTGCCTCCGTGGGGACACTGGGAAGGGACCTTTGGGGAGGGACAGAGGGGCCGGTCCCCATCCCTCCGGCAGCACCATGATGGACCCTGGCCAGCTGGACAGAGGTGACGCGGCGGGGACAGACCTCGCTGCACCCCCCGCCCCAGCCCTGCCCCTCCGCAGGGACCCGGGCGCAGGAGATTCGGCCCCCCCGGGCAGCCCCCAGCCGTGAGCAGCCCCACGGCCGGGCACGGACCCTGCGCCGGGGTGGCTGAGCTGCCCGGCCCCCCACTGCCACCGACAGTGCCCGAGGGACAGGGCAGAGCCGAGCTGCCAGAGCCGCCCCGCGCCGCGGCCCCGCCGCCGCCCAGCACCATCCTTCTCCCCGCCGCTGACATTGGTGCCGTGTCCTCACAGCGGAAGGGAGGGGGCCGGCAACGGGCTGGCTGCTCCGCGTGCTTTATGGCCTGCTACCTGTCATAAACTGAGAAAATCAGGATCAATAAATCTTCCAGGAAACAAAAATCAGGGGAAATAAAATGAACTCAATGGGGAAACACAGATAAACGGAATTGAAAACGCCTGCTGGGACAGCTTGGTGCTCTCATAAACCAGAGATATACAAGCTGCTGTGCTCCCTCCCCACGGCGGGCAGGATTCATCTCCGCGGCCCCTGGTCAGCACCGGCAGGAGAGCTGTGGGCAGCGAGGAGGGGGTGCTCCCCCCCAATGCCAGGGGCAAGGCCAGGTCATGCATCACCCTGGGGAACCTGAAAATGCCCCATCAGACCCCTGCCCCGACCCCCTGCCCTGTGGAGCACATGAGGCCACAAGCCCCCTGCCCGCTGCCCCCAGTTTTGGTGGAGCCCTGCATGGAATCGTGCCGGCTTCCCCGGCCCCCCGCCACAGCCCACAGCACCCACGGGCTGCTGGGACGGCTGCGGCTTACACAGCCATGCGAGCATGCCCTCAGGCTAACATCTGTGTAAACGTGTATCGGAGGGCGATTAAATGCGTATTGGACATTTGCAAATGCGTATTAATCACCTAGCCGGCGCTGGCGCTGGCTCCGCGGGTTATTTACCCCGCTGAACCACCACAGCACTGGTCAGCCAGACGCTCTTTTCTCTGCCAAACCGAGCGGGAGCCCCTTGCCAGAGCCGCCGCCGGGGCCGAGCGGTGGCACGTGCCGGGCGGGCAGTGGTGGCCAGGGCTGGCTCCATCCTGCGCCGGGCTGGGCCAGGGGCTGGGGGAGGCTGGAAGCCCCCGGCCCCCAGGCAGGACCGTGCTGCCGGCGCAGCCTCTGCCGCCCCTCGTCCCTCCCTCCGGCTGCTGCTCTCATGCTGGGGGCTGCAATCAAGTGTGGCTTATTCCCTTCACAAAGCTCCCAGTCATAATTCATGGTTTGTTATGGTTCGGTGAGTCAAGACACTCAGAGGACTAATTGCCGGCTCAGCCTCGCGCTCCCGTCCTCCGCTCCTTCGGCGGCCCCCTCCCCGCGCCCCGGCAGCACGAGTGTGCCATGAGACGCAGCAGGAAGGGAACCGGCTCTGGACGTGGCCACTGGTGGCCCCGGGTCCACGCTGGGGCGAGGGGCACCCCAACCCCGGCCGAAGGCGTGTCCCCAGCAGCTCCGATGGCGCCTGGCCCCAAGTGGCGTCAGCAGCCGCATCCCACCAACCGCTCGGCCCCCCGGGCCGCATCCAGGCGAGCTGGTCCCCAGCAGCACCCGGACCTGCCAAGGGCACCTGCAGCTGGTGCTGCCATCACCACCCACCTGCGCTGGGGGCTGCGCCGCTCTCACACCAGCAGCTCCCAGCACCGCTGTGGCCAGACCCCCCCACCACCACCACCACGGGGCAAGGTGAGAGGCAGGAGAAAGTGGCCAGGAGAGCCAAGCTGCTCCCTCCCTGCCGGCTGCGGAGCGTGAGCTTGGAGATCCCCCCGAGAGGACCCTGCAGAGCTGCTGAGACAGCCGTCCCCACCGTCCCCCCTGTCCCCACTGCCCCCCCTGCTCTCCAGCTCGGTGCCGGGGCTGTTGGCAGCACTCAGCCCTCCCCGGGGACGGCTGCCAAGGGCCCACTCCTCCTCCTGCTCCTGCCCACTGGCAACTCGGCACAAGCCCTGCCCACATCCCCGGCACGGTGCTGGCTCCCGACCCGCTGGGTTCGTGCCGCCCCACGCGCCTGCACCGCTGCAGGGAAAGCAAACGTGTCTGACAGCAACCGCAGCCGGCGGCGCCTCCCCCGCCCCGGGTACCCGCGTCCCCCCCGGCCGATGGGGAGGGACAGTCGGAGGCGCATCCCAGCACGTGCACCCAGGGACGGACGCACAGACCCTCCTCGGTGCATTGGGACCCCTCCACCCCTGGGCGCGGGCTGCCCGTGCAGGAGTCACCCCGGGAGGTCAGAAGGCACAGGCAGCCCCCCCCGGCCGGACCCGGGAGCAGAAGCTCCGGTACGGCTCCAGCGCGGTGGCTGCACCGGGCCCACACTCTCCCCGCAGCGGGGACACGAGGGTGGCGGGTGTCTGCTACGCAGGTTGGGCTACAGCCTCCCTCCTCTTCCCATCTGCACGCTAACATCTGTGAATGAATCTCCTCCTGACAAGCCTGCGAGCAGGGATGCTGACCCCGGGTCACCGCAAACGCATCGCGGCCACAAACCAGCGCACAAACACAGCGGCACGACGGCCGGCGGCGCCGGCGAGAGCAGGGCACGCAGCTCCGGCTCCGGCGGCTGTGCCGGGGCAAAGGGCTTTGGCAGCAAGTGGCGAGGATCGGGGACGAGGATCGGGGACGAGGATCGGGGACGAGGATCGGGGACGAGGGCTGGATCCAGGCACAGACCCGCCCCGGCAGCTCCCGGCTGTGCTGGCCAGCGCCGGCCCGGGGAGCCTCTGGCCAGCACCGAGCCGCTCGCAGCCTGGCCCCGGCGCGCTGGGAAGGGGAGCGCCATTTCTCTGCCCCTATTTACTGTCATATTAGCAGCAGAATTAGCTCAGATTTGCAGCATAAATTAAAAAAAAAAAAAAAAAAAAGAAAAATATCCAGCTAATTTGGTGACTGTGATCAGGCCAGGGTTCACCTTACCAGGGAACTGGAATTAACCTTGAAACCTGTGAGCATTTCGAACCCTGAACCATTACGGGCTCTGGCCCGCCCACAGCCTCCCCACTGCACAGGCTTTGCCACCACGGCAGAAGAGACGCCAGCGGTGAGAATCCTCCCCCGGCCCAGCCCCAGCTACAAGGAGCTTTCTCCAGGCCAGGGGACTCACTGCCTTGCTGGCTCCCGGGGAGCCGTGCTTCTCAGACAACTCCCTCCCGAGGGGAATGAGGAAGAGCAGTTATCTGATAGTATAAGTAGCAAAAACCTAAAATGGCCCGTTAGAACAGCTCCCGGTGGGACCCCCGCAGCGCTGTGCAGCCGTCCGTCAGCCACCACTCGCTTCGGTGCTGGTCTCTGCCAGGGGCTGGTTCCCAGCAGGCGGGAACTGGGATGGGGCAGACAGGAGCTCCACTCCACTGGAGATCAGCCCCCTAGGTCTCACGCCCAGCACCCAAATCACGAGCCATTGGCACTGGCAGCCGTGGCAGCGAGCCGCCCACGCCGCGCAGGGTGCCGGTACCTGTCCCACAGCGCCGGCAGCACCCTCCGGCCCGGCTCTGCCCACCCCACGGCCAGTGGACTCATCCCAGTCCAACTCCACATGGAGCACACGGCACAAGGCATCAACGCATCCGGCACAGCCCAGCACAGGCGATGGTGCTGGTGCCCAGCCCCGCACCCAGCACAGCCGGAGCCGCAGGGAGGGGGCGGCCAGGCAGGAGACGAACCCGCAGCCGGGGAAAAGGGCCCCGCACAGAGCCCGCGCCGTGGGCGGACAGGGCCGGGAAGGGCTGCCTGTCCTGCGGCGCACGAGTCGTCCTTGCACCCTGAACCAACCTCCCCGAGGAGCTGCAAAGGGGAGGGCACCCACCCGGGTCCTGCCTGGGCGCCCACCCGGCCCTGGCCCCCGGAGCAGCACGCGCCGAAGCGGGGAGCGAAGCGGAGCCTCCAGCCCCCTCGGGGTCCCGCTCCCCCCATGGCCCCACCACGCTGCCCACGGCTCCCGGACCGCGCGCGGCCGCTCTGCCTGTTTGTTTGATTTGCTGCCTCGCTCACAGGGAACGTTATGATTAAAATTAGCTGTCACTGTCCTAACGTAATAATTCCCAGTGTCTGGCCCATCATCTGTCAGCTTCTTCAAGGGAAAAGAAAGCACAGACATTTGATGAGGAGAGGTGTCAGAAGTAATTGCGTTGAATGACTGCACGAACAGCAGCAGGAAAAACACATCGGGCGGAGAATTCCCATCAGGAAGAGTGAAAAAAATCCAGCAGAACGCAAAGTGTTTATGAAAGTAATTGATAGAATAATCATCGGGGTGTGCGAGAAAGGAGAAGGGCAGCACCCCGGGGAGCCGGGGCACGGCTCCCTCCAGCCTTCGGCCCTTCAACAGCAGCTTTATTGACGGTGAGACACCGGCGCTGGCGAGCGATGCGGGGGGAAGGAGCCAGGCTTCTCCTCCTCGGGAACGCGAGCTGCTCGCCGAGCGGCTCGCCCTGCCCGGCGCCGGGAGCGCGGCTGGAGCTTCCCAGCTAGCGCCGGTTTGAAAGCCGATGGCACCAGCCCAGCGTGCACAGGCTGTCTGCAATGGGGGGCATGAATAATTGAAGGCACCAGCCTGAGGAGAGGAGAGAGGAGGTGAGAGGCAGTGCCGTGGGTAGGGGAGGGATGGCGGGGAGGGATCCTGCAGCTCGGGCGCTCTCCTGGGGCAGCGGGGCAGATGGAGCCGCTCCTCGCTCCTTCCTCGCTCGAGGCAAAGCCTTTGCTGTGGGGGCAGGGAAAGGACTTTCTTTGACGGAGAGTTTTTCCCTCCCCGAGCAGCCCTGGCTGCCATGTGAGCGGAGGCGCATTGCTCACGCCTGCAGGGCAGTGGGGTGGGGGGGCCGCCTGCACCCCGAGAGGGGGGTCACGGCCACCACCCACCCCCCCCCCCCGACGCCTGCGGAGCGCACGCCGCCCCCGTTCCGTTCCATCACCGCACCCACTGTGGACAAGTTACAGATAACAGCGCCGGTGCTGCCGGGCTGTGCCAGAGCCTCGCGGTGCAGCGGAGGCTCCTCCAGGCCGCCCGCACCCGGGCGAGATGGCGGCCAAACCCACCCCGGCAGCCCCCGACCCGCCGGGCTCTCGCGGTGCGGAGGGAAAACTGTACCAGCGAGTACCGAAACGATCAATCTCCAATCTGCTAAACAGTAATTTATACAGGTTTTCAGCACACACAGTTTTTATCAAATTGGTATTCACCTACTGAACACAAATGGCTTATTATACATGACCCACTTATTCACTGCTTTTCAGTATCGTTAATAAAGGTTTCTGTTGTGATTAAGTGAGTTGCTGCAGAACTGCTCCTAGTAGCAAGCTGTAATGTGGCTCCAAAGTGCACTCGCCCTCCCAGAATATTTCTTCTCCTCGCTCCCTGCTCCCTCACAGCGACCATTTCACTATTTATTTGCCGATTGCTGAATTTCTGAGGGGAGCAGCGGCGGCTTAATGGAGGCTTTTCGCCCACACCTCCTTCTGGCACGCCAGGCTGGCGGGTCCAGAGCCCCCCTGCCCTTACCCCCCAGCGCAGCGGCGGATCGGTCCCCACGCCGCAGGACCCCGCACAGCCCCCCGCCCCGAGCCCCCCCCGTGCCTGGAGGCTCCTCGGGGCAGAGAGCGGCTCCGCTCCGCAGGCCGGGAGCCGGGGGCCGAGCGAGGGGGACGGCTGCCCCCCCGGGCACCCAGCGCACAGCCCGCCGTCGCTCCTCGGGTTCAGATTTAAACCCACCCGTGTCACCCCACAGACAGCAAGGAGGGTCTCGGCACTCTCCCCTGGCCGCGGGGGGGTCTGTCTCCCGCCAGCGGCTCGGCACCCCGTGGGCAAGAGCTGCCCCCCGCGCTAGGCCGGACCGGACTCTGTCAGAGGGGGGTGCAGGGAGAGGGTCACCTTTCCCACCCCCCCGCCGGAGCCCCGCTGCACCCGCGGGGCCGGTCGCTCCCGCTGCCCGCGCACAGCGAGGCGCGGCGGCGTGCGCGGGGCTGCGCGTGTGCGCGGGGCTGTGCACGGGGGTGCACGTTTGCACGGGGACGCACCGTGCCAAGCTCACCACCCCCCCTACCCCCACCCCCCCCCCCGCCACGGGCTCGGTAGCCCGGCGGCGGAGACAGCGGCCGCCCCCCGGGCCCCAGGGACGGGAGCGGCGGAGCCCACCCCGGCTCGGCCGGGCCGCCCCCCCGGAGCCACGGACCGTGTCGCGGCGCTGCCCGCAGCGGCGGAGCCCAGCCCCCCACCCCACCCCTCCCGCTGCCCCCCCCACCCCCCCGCGGCCGAGACCGCCGTGGACCGGCACCCGCGGGGGACCGAGCGCAGCCGGCCCGCGCGTCCGTCCCCCCCCCGCCCCGCGCTCACCGCTGCCCGCCGCCGGGGCGTCCCACGGGGGGTGCCGGGAGGCGGCGCCGAGCTGCAGGTAGAGCCCCAGGTAGTGGAAAATCCCCAGGGCCAGGGCCAGGGCGCCCATCTTGCCGCGGGCGCGCCCGTCCCGGGGGCCGAGCCCTGTCCCCGGGGCTGCGCCGCGGTCCCGGCGCCGCCGCGCTGCGGAGCTCTTCCCTCGCGCGGAGGGCGCCGCGCGCCGAGGCGGTGCCGCGGCTCGCCCGGAGCCTCCCCCCGCCCGGCGGAGGGATCCCGGCCCCGCGCACACCCCCAAAGTTTTTTCCCACGGTTCATTCTTAAACTGCGCGGGGCGGGGCCGCGCCCGCCGCGCCCACGCGAGGCCCCGCGACACGCCACGCCCCCCGCCGGGACCCCCCACCCCCCCCCCCCGGCACCGCCGCGCCCAGCGGGCCCACGCGGGTTCGGGCGGCCCCGCCCCGGCCCCGCCCGCCCCGGGACCCGCCGCCCGCGGGCGGCACCGGCGGGGGCGACTTCAGCACCCGGGACAGCGCCCGCCGCCGCGGACCGGTACGGGCCGGCCCGGCTCGGTGCGGACCGGTACGGGCCGGCCCGGCTCGGTGCGGACCGGTACGGGCCGGCACGGCTCGGTGCGGACCGGTACGGGCCGGCACGGCTGGGTGCGGACCGGTACGGGCCGGCACGGCTGGGTGCGGACCGGCCCGGCTCGGTGCGGACCGGTACGGCCCGGCCCGGCTCGGTGCGGACCGGTACGGACCGGCCCGGCTCGGTGCGGACCGGTACGGACTGGCACGGCTCGGTGCGGACCGGTACGGGCCAGCCCGGCTCGGTGCGGAGCGGTACGGACCGGCCCGGCTCGGTGCGGACCGGTACGGACCGGCCCGGCTCGGCCCCTGGGGGGTCAGGGATTGTGACCCAGACTGCGTAAGATTCACCTCAAAATGCAAGGCCTGGAGCCGGGGTAGGCGCAGGCTGAAACGCGGCCTCGGGGCCCGGCCAGAGCGGGGCTGCAGCCCCCCGAGCCCCCAGCCCCCCCAGGGGAGGGGGCTGCTCCCCACACCCCGAGCGAAGGGGTGACATCCCGAGCGCCCGCCAGCCATACGGAGCTGGAGGCCAAACCCACCGGCAGCGCTGGCGTTTCCCCAAAACCAGTGCCTCGCAGCAGGCCAGAACCACGGCACCACGACCTGCGTGATTGATACACCTGCTTTGAAAAGTCTAAAAATGTAAAAAGGAGCCCAAAGGCAGCGTATCGCCACCCTAAACACCAAGCTTCATCGCTGGAGGGAAGGCACAGATGCAGGCTTCACTCACACGATATTATCTGTGTGCTACATAACAATCTGAAGGATATTTGCTCTCTAGATAAACAGTAAAAATCAGATTATTTCAGGTGTTTTCTGCCATAAGATGACAGATGGCTGCTACAAAGAGATTCTTTAAATTGGACTTGAAAATACAAACTGCATTTCTTTGCCCTTCCCTCAGCAGGGTTCCACCAGCAGAAAGAGCAGGAGTAATTTTTCCATTACCTCCCCGCGAGGCGAGTTCCCTGGACTCGGCCGGGAAGAGCCCCACACATGACTGCAGGACCTGGGCTGCTTCCGACCTGCCTTACAAATCAATAGTTTTAAAAAAAACTTCTACCTGCTGCAGCGTTTTCCGCATGTCAGAATAAAGCCCAGAGCAGAGCAGAGAGCACTGGTGTCTGCCCAGGTTCATTACTCCCTCTAGAGTTAAAAGCCGGGGGAAGGAGGGAGCAGCGGTAACGGGCGGGCCGGGCTGGCTGGGTTCAGGGGGTCCCACCCTGGGGCAGCGGGACCAGCAGCAGCGAAGGGCTCCGGGCTTCCCGAGGGAAAACTCCTGGGAGCCGGCGGCAGCAGGAGGAAGATGCTGGAGGAGGCACCAGCCCCCACACCCAACCGTCACGGCGGGGTCCCGGGGACGGGCTCTGTGCTCGGAGCAGGGGCCCCATTCCCCTGGGCCAGCACCGGGCTCCAGCCACCCCCCCCGGCCGGGAGCTGGCGAGCAAATCCGGCCGCCAATGGGGAGCAGCTCCGGGCTGTGTCCTGAGCAAAGCGAAAGCATCAGGTCACCCGGAATCACAAGTGGAGGAAAAACACCCACGCACAGAAACACGGGGTTCACGCAGAGGGTCGAGCGCCTCAGGAAAAAGCAGCGACGGCCAAGCAGGCGCGAGCCCCGCGGTGCGGGCTGTCCGGCCCCGGGGCCGCTGCCGTCCCCGCGGTCCCTCCTCTGCCACCGGCCAGCGAGGGGACCTGGAGGAGCCCGCGCTGAAACGGCACCTGCAAACGGTGCCCGCTCAGACCCGACACCCCCACTCCGCGGAGCACCCGCCCACGGGTGCAGCCGGGGCTGTCCCCCAGCAGGGACAGGGTGTCCTGGGCAGGGGTCCCCGGCCCAGCCCCTGCCCCCCCCCGGCTCGAGGGGCGGCACAGCCCCCACCGGCCGGCCGGGATGGCGGGAGCTGAGGCTGCGCGGCTGCACTACGGCTGAAACCTGCCAGGATCTTCCGGCGTAGCATCCGAGTTATTTAAGTCATGCCACGAGGAAGCAGCGAGCATAAATCCCTCTCGGAACTGGGAACACCTCCAGATGCAGAGCCTGAATTAAGCCCCATTTCCAGCTGATTTTCTGCCACCGCAGCAGGATGACAAACGCACAGCGGGTCTGTGCATGGGCCCAGCAGACAGGGAAGAGCCAAGCGTCCGCGTGTCTCGGGCGCACTTGGAAGGTTTCATTTTCCTCCTCAATTTTAATTCATCGGTGAAAAGGCCCAGAGCAGATGCTGTCGAGTGGTGCAGCCACGCAGCCCTGATGAACCCCTGTGTGTCTGACAGGAATAGGAGGGAAGGTTACTCGCACACACAAGTGGGAGCAGAGCCAGCAGCTCCCGGACCAGATAGACTCCGACGCTCGCTGCGTAACGAGGTCCCTTATCTGCATACTGGCTCGTGCTCTGAAAGAGCTGGCACCTCCCTCGCAGGGCTCCTGTTCCAGCCAAACGTGCCCAGGGACTCGCTCTCAAGGATGAAATGTTCCTTAGCTCCGTTAGCACCAGGTTTCCTGCCTATCATTTCATTTTGCACGTGCCGGCGGTTCTGCTCAGGGTGAGCACCTGCGAGGTGGGGGAACCCTGTGGTCGTTTCCACGGGGTGACACCGCAAGGGCCCTGGTGGCACCACCTCCACCACGGTCACAGCTCGTGCAGCCCTGAGGTTGGTGGGTGTTTTCCCTGGGGTGCCCAGGGCCGGGAGCAGAGGCGAGCCTGCCGAGCTGGAGGTTGCAGTGAAGCTCTGAAGAGCTGGAGGAGAGGGTGGAAGGGGTGTGGGGGGGGGCCCAGCCACATCAGTGCCATTTCCCCGGGGATTGCCCTGACCGGGGCCGCAGGAAGATCCAAACCCCATGGGGCAGCCGAGAGGATCTGCTCACCGTGACTGGGGCACAGGGACTGTCCCGGCACTCCCCGAGGACACCCAGAACCAAACCCAGACCGGTCAGTCCCTCCCGCTGGCGACCGAGCGCTCACGGCTGACGCAACCCAAACCCCGTGTTTTCCTTCGGCAGCAGAGCGACCCAGCAACGGCACCTTCAGCTTGAGGCATCCAGGGAAGGAAAAAAAAAAAAAACAAAAAAAAAAAAAAACAAACAAAATCCCACAGCTACTGAAGCGCGGAGGGTTGCCTCCCCCCTGGGGTGGCCGGTCCCACGGCCCCACGGGCTGTGGGGCCGGGCACGGAGCTCTCCCGAGGTCTGTGAGCCAACACTCGAATCCACAGCTGCCGGGGAGAGTGGATTGGGTTGTTCATCTCTCTGACGGGCGGAATAAACACCCTCCACATTGATACCGAGCTCATTTCTGATACTTGTTTAGAGACTTGACAATCCCTGTATAAAAGGATTTCCTTCCACAGCTGAAGTTTGACATTCCTGCATTATTAGATTATTTGCAAAGGTCTGCGTGCGCTGCAGGAAAACAACACTACCGACATCCAACATTACAACCGTCTCCTCCACAAATCATCCCGGGCGCAGTAAGCCGCGGAGACAGCGCCCATTTGAAACCCCCGATATAGAGAAGCAGCCAGGGGAGGCGGCAGGGTGGGGGCTCAGGTGAGCAAACACAACCCAACCACGCCGTAAGAACAAAAAAAAATAATTAAAAAAAAAATAATTCAAGCCTGGAGGCAAGCCTGAGAGGGGGTTGCGGGTGGAGGGAACCCTGCCCCAGCCACACCGGCTGCTGGGCTCAGACTCCAGCACCAGCACCGGCTCCTCGAGCCGCCCCCGGCCCAGCCCTTCCCGGCGGCACGGCCGGGCTGGCAGAGCACCGGGGCCCGCGGCCGGGGGGAGCATCCCCGGGGCACGGGAGCGCCGAGGCCCCGTCCCCCTGCCCAGCTCAGGGACGGCCGCAGCCCCGGGCCCCGGCCCCCCACCCTGGGGAACCCCGGGGGTCCCAGCACGGTGCGGGGGAAGGCAGCGGGAACCTTCACCCCGCACACGGAGGCTTTGGGAGTCACGGGTCTCTGCCCAGAGCAGCCCCCACGCAGGGAAGGTTATCCAAAGCATAAAATTCAGAAGAAAATTACTTGAGAAGAAGTATTTCTTCAGGGAACAATTCATGCCCGTTTCCAGACCATTAACTCCTTCCTCCTCTGCAGAACCCACCATCAGGTTCCTGATGGAGAGAAGCGCTGCCACAGGTGCCAATCATTTTGGCAACAGTTCTCTCCTTCCAAAAAATTGTTTTAAGGACCAAAACCAATCAAATGTGAAAAAATAAAAGACCCAAAACAAAACCAACAAAAAAAGCCACAAAATCCAAACCAGCCACCCCTTCCCCCTCCAAATTACTTCCTGCTGTATGAAAACAGCCTTCCCTGAAACCCAGGTCTTAACAGAAAAAAAAAAAAAATATTAGAAAACCCCATCAATAGTTTAAGTGACTTCTTTGTGCTGCTGGAGGTTTGTTTCCCAATTTTGACAGTGTCTCTTTGTGCTTAGTGCAGCCTGGGTGTCTCTACCAGGGTGCCAAGAGATATTCCTCAGTCAGGATTTGCACTCACTTATCCCCGGTTAGAGAGGCTCGGCGGGGAGCGGAGCTGCAGGTGGGTTCAGACACACGGGGAGATGCTGCCGGCTCTTCTGCAGCACCTTCCCCGGTGCCGCCGGCGCTCCCAGCCCATCGCCCACCGCAGGGCTGGTGCCACCATCCCCCCGCCCGCCCCGGCCCCAGCAGAGCCCGGCCCGGGCAAACCCCGCCGGGGCGAG